TACCTTTTAGTTTCCTTCAACTGGGTACTATATATACAATACCTTTAGTTTCCTTCAACTGGGTACTATATGTACAATACCTTTAGTTTCCTTCAACTGGGAATTGTATATATAGTATACCTTTAGTTTCCTTCAACTGGGTACTATATATACAATACCTTTAGTTTCCTTCAACTGGGTACTATATACAGTAAGCAGAGTGAAAACAAACGCCGTATAAGAAGGAAATACTGAGACTGATATAAGATTCTAGAAAGAGGGAGGCCGACTCTTGGACCAGAATATATATATATATATATATACTTAGTAGAAAAATAGGCCTAGTTGTAGTGATACACAGTTTCTTAATAATAATAACAACGAGCCCTTAGGCCTAAGGCCCACATTTACAAAGCCGCCTTAATTCAAATTTAATGCTTGAATTAATATTTTTCACTTTTTCAGTTTAATGATTATTGCCACTATAATAGAAATATAATCTATTTAACCAAGTTACGAACGGTAATTACTAGGCCTACTTATTTACGTGCTCCAATGTAAATCAATGCCAATTTGTTGTCTGCTTTCGGGGAATTCCCGTAAAAATGTTTTCGCGAAACACCCTGGTTCCCTAAGGGGTTGGGTGAAAAGTTTTACCTTTGTGCAAACCTCGGGACCGAGACGATTCGTTTGGTATTACTTATAAGTTCGTGCAACCAGCGGTTTAGGAGGAGTTATGTGACACACACACATAGACACTGAATCTTATTACATATTGTCATTGTTTTAAGAAAAGAAAGGGGATTCATGAATCTTGGATTCCTCCTCTTGTGTCTACCTTTAGAATATTACACAAACTAATGTTGTTATTTCTTGTTTTGTTTTTGTAGTTAAGCCCAAAGTTACACCTGGTTGCTAGTGTTATAAGTCTATAGAGTTGCCACTGGGGGAGGGGGCAATCAATTAATGTTTAGAAAATATTATAGTGATTTGAAAAACACAAAAAACTTTTAATCTTTATAGCTGCCAAGAAGGAGCTTCATTTTATTATATATATATTAGTTTTATAGTCACTATTTTTCGGCTATTATCACAAGCGTATTTTTTCTTATATTCGAAGGTGCAAGTGACTCAGGAAATATTAATTCAAGATCGGATATTTGTATAAGTAAATACGTATACATGTGTTTCTGTTAGCAACAAGGAGTGGTTATGTTTAGGTCTGTTGCCAGGAGACAAAAACTGTACAAATAAAACTGTTTTTCTTGCAGCCAAAAATACAAAGTACGTCAATTCAACCCAGGTGAACTACTTCCAGTATGGCCAGTTCGGGATATCAGCCTCATTCACTCAGGTGATTACGAAAAAATAAATATTTTACAAAAAAGTATTATACAACTATTAGTATACAGCGTACTTATATATATATATATAATACATGTTCCGGTATGATAAATTAGATTAACTAAAGATATTGTATATATAGTACCCAGTTGAAGGAAACTAAAGGTATTGTATATATATATAAACGCCTTCTACGTCCTATTGTGCAGTATATTTCTATAAACGCTTCTACATCCTATTGTGCACGTATTTTTATAAACCATTCTACGTCCTATTGTGCAGGTATTTTTATAAAAGCCTCTACGTCCTATTGTGCAGGTAATGAGAACGAAGTGAAGAAGAACGAGTTCGTGAGTTATAAAGATTTGAAAAACAATATGTGGTTCGGTGTTTCAATGGACGTGCAACATCAAGGTCAGAACAACGTTGTGGTAAGTAAAGGGGTGGTCATCTTCTAGAGACTGGTAGACTATGATGATAGAATCGAATTTTGAAAGTTATGTAAATATGGTGACGTCACCTGCAAACGTAAAGCATCTGTTCCGACGATACAATTTCAACTAGAAATCCGTTTTCAACAATTCGTTTAGAAAATAGATGAAACCACCATTTCCTATGTTTGATATCTCGTACTTGATTTGATTTATTTCGTTTACAAAGTAAAACAAAAATATTATTTCTTATATATATATATAGGATTTGATTTCATATTTTGAGTTTGATTACAATCGTTCTAATTTTCTACTCTTACTAGTGTAATTTGACTTTGCAGGTGACGGACCGATGTGGGAACTGTTTTTGTTTCTACACAATGGGGGTCCAGCGGTATGTCTGTGGACTTACAACGCTAGAATCCGGGTTTCGATACCCGTGGTGGGCAGAGCACAGATAGCCCTTTGTGTAGCTTTGTGCTTAACTACAAACAACACACAATGGGCTATCCGTGCTGTGCCCTTCACGAGTATCTAAACTCGGTTTTTGGCGATTTGAGCCCCCACACTTACCGTTGAGCTACTGGGGGCGAACCCGATTTTGATGAACTTAACCGTTTTGTAGCTATTAGGCTAATAACTTTTGAAAACATTTACTGTATGATAAATTATAATTAATGCAAAATGTTGTGGAAATTATATATTTCTCATTCCAAAACACTTTCAAACTACACGCCTTTCTCCAGCTAAATTTGCTGGCTAAACCTTGTGCACATTTGTTACTGTGTTAAACTTGTAAAAAGGTTTTCTTCATTACCTGGCCATGCCAGGTAGTTAGGGCGCTCAACTCGCAATCTGCAGGTTCGAATCCTCCGTCCCACCAAACATGCTCGCCCTTTCAGCCGTGGGGACGTTATAATGTAACCATAAATTCCACTATTCATTGGTAAGAGAGGAGCCCAAGAGTTGGCGGTGGGTAGTGTTGACTAGCTGCTTTCCTTCTAGTCTGTCACTTCTAAATTGGAGACGGCTAGCGCAGGCAGCTCTCGTGTAGCTTTGCGCGAAATTCATACATCTTCAAATTTTAGTATATGCAGTTAAATATAAAAAACATTTTCCTGTTCTTCCCCCTCCACCGACCCCCCCCCAGTGTTAAGTTTAATATAATAATATATGCACTTATACTATGGACAACTAAGATCTGTGATTTCACGTAATTTCGTTTGTCAATAGGCGGGATAATTACATTATAGAAAATGATTCAGTTAGTCAGTTCGTTTAACTATTTCCAGGTGGCAGTCACACATTTATTGGTTTGTGGAAAATTCTTGCAAAAAACTTATTTCGCCTTGAAATGTAATTGTTACCCTAAAGTGCTTTGTTTGTTTGTTTTGAAATTAAGCACAAAGCTACACGATGGGCTATCTGTGCTCTGCCCACCTCGAGTATCGAAACCCGGATTCTAGCGTTGTAAGTTAATAGCCCATTGTGTACCTACGGATTTCAACACTCTACTAGCACAGACAGCCCATAGTGCTTAACAAGGGTTGACGGTGGGTGGTGATGACTTACCTCTAGTCTTACACTGCTAAATTAGGGACGGCTAGCACAGATAGCCCTCGTGTAGCTTTGCGCGAAATTCAAAAAACAAAGAAACAAGCTATTCCAAAAAACATCACAAAAGATTGAATATTTTTTAGTAAAGTCGGAACTCTTGTTAACGCATTGTATTTTGAATTTAGAGCAACATAACGTCATGAGGTATCAAATAATGTAACAGTAATTCTTTGATAGGTTCTTTAGAATATACTAGAATGGAAGGTTATAGAAACACGAGTGTAGAGGAAGATGTTTCGAAAGTCTTTCGTCCTCAAACGAAAAACTTCCGAATCCCCCGTCCTCCACACTTGTGTTTTTTCTACAACATTCCAGTGTACTTATGATGTACTAGTAACTTTTAGTGGCAAGAATGAAGATACATGTCTTTGTTGTTGTTGTTTTGGAGGGGTTAGATTTAAATACTATTAACCATTTTTTAGACCATGTTTTCTGTTTTCACAGGTTTGTGGACATCTTTGGAAAAACCAACAGTTCTTGGATTACTGGGCTAATGGCGTCTGCTACTTGCTTAATAAAGACCTCATTCTTTTGAAAGAGAACAAGTACCTCCCCCTTGTCGACCGTTGTAAGTACAGAGAATGCAAAGTGAGCTTCAGATTCTCCTCTTATTTCGATGACAAGCTACAGTTATTTTTGAAATTAAGAACGCCCTCTACGTCCTATTGTGCAAGTATTTTATTAAACGCCTCTACGTCCTATTGTGCAGATATTTCTATAAACCCTTCTACGTCTTATTGTGCAGGTATTTTTATAAACACCTCTACACCCTATTGTGCAGGTATTTTTATAAACACCTCTACACCCTATTGTGCAGGTATTTTTATAAACACCTCTACGTCCTATTGTGCAGGTATTTTTATAAACGCCTCTACGTCCTATTGTGCAGGTATTTTTATAAACCCTTCTACGTTCTATTGTGCAGATATTTCCGTAGAAGGGTTTATAAAAATACCTGCACAATAGGACGTAGAGGTGTTTATAAAAATACCTACACAATATGACGTAGAGGTGTTTATAAAAATACCTGCACAATATGACGTAGAGGTGTTTATAAAAATACCTGCACAACAGAACGTAGAAGGGTTTATAAAAATACCTGCACAATAAAACGTAGAAGGGCTTATAAAAATACCTACATAATAGGACGTAGAAGGGTTTATAAAAATACCTGCACAATAGGACATAGAAGGGCTTATAAAAATACCTACATAATAGGACGTAGAAGGGTTTATAAAAATACCTGCACAATAGGACATAGAAGGGCTTATAAAAATACCTGCACAATAAAACGTAGAAGCGTTTCTAAAAAT